TACATAACGAAAGAAAAGAAAAAATGTGTATTTTAGTTCAACATAAGAATATCTTTTCAAGATGCAGAAAAMAACACCCTCAATTTCATGGTTCTTGCAAAGCTATACCTAATTGTGTAAAGTATTATTTGCATGCATTTGATGTTTACAAGTTAATAAAGCCAAATTTAAACAAACAAACCAGATAGAAAATTATATTTTTTAATCAAGTTTAGTTGATATTCTTCGAATTGTTCTCAATTGCATTGAGTGAAGTAGAATGTTCTGTGAAACACAAGGACCACAGATATCTCGAACAAAGACCACCGCTTCTTCCTCCATAATTCTAAATGCGAAAGTCCCGCTACAGAAAGTCACACATCACTTACTAAACACKTGTGCCTGGTTACCAAGCGGTCGAGTGAATGACGATCGAGCGAAAGTTTAGCGTTCAAAAAAAATTCGAGAGTTCGCACTCATTTGAAATCGGGTGTAATTTCAATTAACATTACAGCAGGTTATAAGGTGTCCTCAATAGCCGCCCCATTGCCGGATTAGCTTGCTAGTGGCAATTAATTTATTTAAAGGTTAAAGGTTAAAGCCTATAGGGCAGCGGCTTATTTGGAATGGAAAGCTTCACAAGATTCCAGACAAAGACGTCATCCACGAGGTATGATCAACACTAGATCATTATATCTGTTTTGACATTACAACTATCAAAAGTTTTGTTTSAGATAATTTATACTAGACTAAGTCTCATTCTTCAAAGAAAAATCCATTTTCAAAAAAGTCTGATTAAGAGTTTACAAATGGAACTAAAGGCAATCATTTTTTTTCAAGTTGAAATTCAAGTTCATTATTTAATTTCAATTAACTTAACATTACAACAGGTTATAAGGTGTCCTCAATAGCTGAAAGCCTAGGGCAGCGGCTGCATGTATARAGCCCAGAAAGTTAACAATCTGTAGACTGTTATACTGTAATCGCACCGTTATGTATTTGGTTTTCTGAATGAAAAACTCCTGCTGGATGTTCACATCTGATGAATGCATTTTGCAGCGTTTTACTTTGTTGTCTGTCCAAGAAAATTAATAGCACTTCAAAAAATCTCAGAAACCTGAACAATAGTCAATAGTCATAATGTTGATGAGACCCTAGATTACTTTCTTTCAACAAATAATTAACAGTTCTATTGAAGTGAAGATCAATGGATGTCTGATTAGGTAGAGGCAACTCCAAATGTCTACAACAGGAGGCGTGGCACTGCAACATCAAACCTMATAAATTCAGATTCACAGCTAGCCATTGCACACAATTGCAGCAAGCTCTGGGATTAAAGCAGCTGAGTTTGGAAATAGAATAGTATCGTCAACCATGAATGCAGTGAAAACTTCATTACTGCTCTTTATCGTGTTGGGTTTCTCTACATCTGGACTTTGTCAAAGTAAGTTTAATTACCTTTGTGTTTTATTCTCTAAAAATGGAGCGATTTTTTTTAGGTATCTTAAAATACATCTAAGCAATTCGACCTTATTAAGGTCGACGTTTAATTTACAAGAAATACATGAAGTTTTACACATTCAAGTACAAACAATTGTGATAAAAATTMCTTCGCTCGTACTGGGTGCCATCTTTAGCCTCAATTCAGAACGAAAAGTACCTTGAAGTACTTCTAATTTGCGTTCGTATCAAAACAGCTATGAAAGCTTTACTGAGCAAGATCAATGTTTGGTTATTTGAATTTGTATGCACGCAATGTCCAGTTATAAGACTCTGAATACAAATGAATTAAGTGYCTAGTTCTCGGTTTTAGCAAGGGGTAGCCCAATATTGTCTTTGAAATGGTAGTAATGATGTATTATTTACCTCATTGACCATATGAAAACGAAGCAGAAGATTGGAAATGAGCACACTAAACGAAACTCTGTTTTCACGATAAGAAAGA